TGGAAAGAAACAGAAAATATGTTTGGAAAAATGATGTCTGCAAATTTTCTAAATTTGCTAAAAACTGTGGACCCACAGATCCAAGAATTTCAATAAATCCCAAACAGAATAAACATAAAAACCTCACACGTACATTGAATTAAATTGCTGAAAACCAGTGATAACAAGAAAATCTTAAAAGCAAAGAGAGAGGGGCGCCTGGGTGGCTCAACCAGTTAAGTGTCCGACTTTGGCTCAGGTCATGATCTCACAGTTTGTGGGTTTGAGCCCTGTGTCTGGCTCTGTGCTGACAGCTCAGAGCCTAGAGCCTGCTTCAGATTCCGTGTCTCCCTCTCTCTCTCTCTCTCTGCCCCTGCTCACACTCTATCTCTCAAAAATAAAAATAAACATTTAAAAAATGTTAATAAAAAATAATAGCAAAGAGAGAACAAACCATGTTACTTACAGAAGAACGATGATAAGAGTTAAAAGACTTCTCACCAAAAACTATGCAAGCCGAGAGACAATGGAACCTCTCTGAATTACTGACAGAAAAAACTATCAACCTAAAATTCTGGGTTTCCAGCAACAAGATCCTTTAAACAATGAAGGAGAAATAAAATCTTTTCCAGAAAAACAAAACCTGAGAGAATTGGTCACCAGCAGACCTTCACTGTCAGAAATAGTAATGGAAATTCTTCAAGGGAAAGGAAAATTATACTAGATGGAAACTTGAGGCTACACAAAGCAATGAACACGTGAATAAATATAAAGGTCTTTTTTTCCCTCAGTTGTCAATTTCGTTAAACGATAAAAAGAATATTAACACTGTTTGCTGAGGTTGACAATGTATAACAACAACAGTAGTGAAAGGACAGAACAGGGAATAGAAATGTACTGCTGTTATAAAAGCTTCTTACACGATCTATTGTCGTAGATTTGTATTATGTCAACTCAGCTAAGCTATTCTAGGACCTTTTTTCCCCCAGAATTCCTTTCCTTGTATAATTCCAATTAGTGTGGGTCACAAAAGACATTTTGTGCAACATTTGGGAGGTGGAATAGAGCAGCGGCCACTTGCCTTTTTTGGATTGTCCTTTAAGTTTCTCTGATCCCTAGACTAGCTGTGTGTTCAGCTTTATGATGAAAAGCCCCAGTTTCTCCTACAGGTCATTCACATCATTGAAGTTGGCACCTTGGAGGAGACAGAGAACATCCGGGTGCTGGTTTGTCCCTGCTCTGACCCATTCTTTCCCCACACTAAATCGATCTCCCCTTCCCAAGTTCCTTCCCTTCACTGTCAGTAGTATCCCAGCACCTGACACGAAGAAAATGGCCTTTTATAAGTTGTTTAGCCAGCTCCATATAATTATATAAGGTCAAATTCCTGTAATAACTCCCATGTTCTAGATCCTTCCCAGTGGCTCTATTTCTCTGATGGGACCCTAATAAATATGTGAAGTGGCAAAATATTATGCAAAAATGAGGTGATAGGGTAAGGTGCATTTAATTAACCCTAAAGTAGCCACTAAAAAACAGAACAAAGAGCGAAAATAAAAAGGAATAATAAAAAATAATTAATCCAAAAGAAGCCAGGCAAAGGAAAATTGAGGAACAAAGAAGTGATGGGACACACAGAGCGAGTAGTAAGATAGTAGATTCTTTTTACAGTTTATTTAATTTTATTCAGATGAGTATCCTCCATTATAATTTTTTTATTAAAATTTTTTAATGTTTATTTATTTTTGAGAGAGACAGAGCACAAGTTGGGGAGGGGAAGAGAGAGAGAAGGAGACACAGAATTGAAGCAGGCTCCAGGCTCCGAGCTGTCAGCCCAGAGCCCAATGCGAGGCTCGAACTCACAAGCTGTGAGATCATGACCTGAGCCGAAGTCCGGCGCTTAACCGAGTGAGCCACCCAGGAGTCCCTCCGTTATAATTTTTTAAATTGAGTTTTAAATTTTAACTCAGTATTGTTAAGATGCAGTGTTATATTAGTGCGGGTGTACAATATAGTCATTCAACAATTCTATACATTACTCAGTACTCATCACGACAAGTGCACTCCTTAATCACTGTCACCTATTTCACCCCTCCCCCCACACTCCTCTCTGGTAACCATCGGTTTGTATCTTTAATTATTTTTTTTTTTTTATTTCTCTCTCTTTTTTTCCTTTGCTTATTTGCTTTGTTTCTTTTTCTTTTATAAAAAAAATTTTTTTAACATTTATTTATTTTTGAGAGACAGAGAGAGGCAGAGCATGAGCAGGGGAGGGGGGCAGAGAGAGAGAGAGACAGAGAATCCGAAGGAGGCTCCAGGCTCTGAGCTGTTTGTTAGCACAGAGCCCGACGTGGGGCCCGTAACTCACAAACTGCAAGACCACGACCTGAGCCGAAGTCAGACGCTCAACCTACTGAGCCACTCAGGCACCCCTTTGTTTCTTAAATTCCACATATGAGTGAATTCCTATGGTTTTTGTCTTTCTCTGACTGACGTGTTTTGCTTAGCATTATGAGACAGTAGATTTAAACTACACCTTATTGATAATTACATTAAATGTAAATTGTCTAAACACTCCAGTTTACTTATTTTTTTAATTTTTTAATGTTTGTTTATTTTACGACAGAGAGAGAGAGACAGAGCACGAGCTGGGGAGGGGCAGAGAGAGAGGGAGACACAGAACCCGAAGCGGGCTCCAGGCTCCGAGATGTCAGCACAGAGCCCGACTCGGGGGTTGAACTCACGACCCGCGAGATCATGACCTGAGCCGAAGTCGGACGCTCAACCGACTGAGCCACCGAGGAGCCCCTGAACACTCCAATTTTTCAAAGGATTGAAATCACCCCTCTGATTCTAGAGGGGGGGAAAAAGTGGTAAGAGGAGGCAGCCATTTTTCTCAGCTGAAAGGTAGAGAAGAGAAAGTTTCTCTAGAATGCAAATGAATCAGCTGCTGCTGCTTACACGTGATGGCAATGGATTACTGCCGAGTGTCTTAAAACTTAACTCCTTTCGGGGCGCCTGGGTGGCTCGGTCGGTTAAGCGTCCGACTTCGGCTCAGGTCATGATCTCGCGGTCTGTGAGTTCAAGCCCCGCGTCGGGCTCTGTGCCGACGGCTCGGAGCCTGGAGCCTGTTTCCGATTCTGTGTCTCCCTCTCTCTGCCCCTCCCCCGTTCATGCTCTGTCTCAACAATAAATAAACGTTTAAAAAAAAAAACAAAAACTTAACTCCTTTCAAACTAGTCCGTGAGTCAGAAAGGGACATCCATGGGGCGTCTGGGTGGCTCAGTCGGTTAGGCATCCAACTTTGGCTCAGGTCATGATCTCGCTGTCCGTGGGTTTGAGCCCCGCGTCGGGCTCTGTGCTGATGGCTCAGAGCCTGGAGCCTGCTTCGGATTCTGTGTCTCCCTCTCTCTGTGCCCTCCCCTGCTTACACTCTGTCTCTCTCAAAAATAAATAAAAATATTTAAAAAAAAGAAAAGGGATGTCCAGGCCAGTAGAGCATATGTCATTGAATGTCTGGGCAACTTATCAAAGGCCGAGTGCCGGTAATAATGGCTCGAGTCGAGAAACAGGCCTGTGTAGAGCTAGTTGCCTAAGCTCCAGCGATAAATCCGTCTCCCACATTTCCTCTCCCGTGTCCCACAAGGCACACCAGTGCACCCAAAACCCAGCCAACGGAATAGTCCCAGCCCCTCCTCTTTTTCCCCCTTTCTCAAAACTGCCGCTTCTCCCGAGTTACCCATCTTAGGTAACAGCACCACTCAGCCAGAGGTCCCCTCTTATCCACGGTTGTGCCTTCCGAGGCTTCAGTTATCCACGATCAACTGCGGTCCAGAAGCAGGTGATCCTCCTTCTGATGTATTATCAGAAGGTCGGCGGTAGCCTAAAGCGAGGTCACGAGGCCGACAGCCCTGACCTCACTCCACCCCCTCACGAGGGCATTTTATCGTCTCCCATCATCCCAAGAAGGGTGAGTACAGTTCAATCAGATGTTTTCCAGGAGAGAGGCCGCATTCCCATAACTTTTATTACAGTATCTTGTTAAAATTGCTCTCTTGTATTAGCGTTGTTGCTAATCTCTTCCTCTGCCTAATTTACAAATTAAACGAACACCAGGATGCATGGAGAGGGAAGAAACATAGTATGGACAGGGCTCGGTTTCTGTCCCTGGGTTCAGGCATCCACTGGAGGCCTTGGAACATATCCCTCGTGGATAAGGAGGCGGGGGGAACCCCTGCCTCTTCGGTTCCCATGGTTCATCGGTCCCATGGTTAATCGGTCGCTGAGCCCTACAGAGTCTTTCTCTCTCACTGATCTCTCGAACACGTCTCTTCCCCTCTCCCCCCCACCCATGGAAAAATCCAAGTTCTCTCTCATTTCTTACCTTGTTCTCCAACATGCTCTAGCTTGCCCCAGGACCTCTGCCTTATTGTGCCTCCCATCTGTGCTATGCCCTGCACGCTAATGGAGTCTCAACTTGCTTCTTTTCCACGCAATAATTGGGGCACCTGGGTCCGACTTGATTTCGGCTCAGGTCATGATTTCACAGTTCAAGTTGGGCTCTCCGCTCACAGGGCAGAGCCTGCTTGGGATTCTTTCTCTCCCTCTCTCTGCCCCTCCCCCTCAAAAATAAATAAACTTTTGAGGCGCCTGGGTGGCTCAGTCGGTTGAGCATCTGACTTCGGCTCAACTCACGATCTCACAGTTTATGGGTTCGAGCCCCGTGTCGGGCTCTGTGCTGACAGCTCAGAGACTGGAGTCTGCTTCAGATTCTGTGCCTCCCTCTCTCTGCCCCTCCCCCCCCCCAATAAATAAACATTAAAAAAATTAAATAACATATAACTATTCTTCATTTCAATGACTGCCGGGACACCAGCACGTATAAATGTCATGATGTCTTTTAAAGGTAAATATCCACTGTCTTCCACTCACCCTCCTTTGATGCAACCCACAGTAGTGAACGGCAAGCTGGCAAGGGAAGGAAAGATGCCTTCCAGGAAATGCACGAGAAGAGCCATCAGTTTGAGGGAGCAAAGGTACCAGAATTCCTATTTTATAATGCATTCTTTATCTCGTGCTTTCTGTTTTCCTGTTGGGAAAACCGGACGGCCACATGCAGAAACATGATGAAAAACTTGAACGTGAGACCTGAAACCGTGAATCTCCTAGAAGAAAAAACAGGCGGCGAGCTCCTTCATATCCGTCTCGGCGATGCTATTTTTGGGTCCGATGCCAAAAGCAGAGGCAACCAAAGCAAAACTAAGCAAGTGGGCCTCCGTCAAACTAAAAAGCTTCTGCCCAGCGATGGAGACAAACCATCAACGCAATGACAAGGCAACCTGCAGAACGAGAGACAATATTTGCAAATCATTTATTTGTTAAGGGGTTCGCATCCAAAATATCTAAGGAACTCATGCAATTCAAGAGAAGGAAAAAGCAAGCAATCCAATGAAGCTTTTCTATTAGTGTGTGTCTTAGAATGCACACGGTGTATTTGCATGGGAGTACATGCGTATAATTTATTTATAAACAAATGCCCATGTAATGGAGATTTTGTTCTCTATTTCAGGCGTGATCCTAGAAGGTGGGGATAGCAGCCTAACTGATGAAATATTAGCTCGTTAGCGGTCCTGGAATCTTCAGCATAGTGAAATCTTTGCTTCCCCCTCCAGCTTCATCTACCACCTCCCCCACCCCCAGCAAGCCATACCAAACCCTGTGTGTTCCCCGGGCACCCATGTTCTCCCTCCAAGCCGATTCACTAGCTGTTCCCTTTGCCAGAGTGTCCAGGCACCCCGCCCCCTTCACTTCCCGGCTGGTATGTGCATACCTGTGCCTCTACACCCAGATCAAGTGACACCTCTGCCAGAAAGCCTTCCTGGACGCACACCCCCACCCAGGCTGGGTGCCCCTCCTCTCTGTTCCCATAGCACCCTGAGCTTACCTGCACAACACTGACCACGTGACTGCAATTGCCCGTTTTTGCATCTGTGACCTCCGCAAGGTAGGAGATCGTCCTTCAGATCCGAATCCCTGGTGGCCACCCAGCCCCGGGCCTGCCATAGAGTTGTCTCTTAGTAATCGGTGAGGGAATAAACAAACGAGAACAGCAAACACGAATACTGCACCTCGTAACGGCCGGGCACTGGTTTAAGAACTTTACACACATGAACACATTGAACACAAAAACCACCCCACAAGGCAGGTATTTCTGTTGTCTCCATTTCACAGATGAAGAAAGAGAGGCACAGAGAAGTCATGTCACTTGCCGAGGACACATAACTGGTAAGTGGCAGAGCCAGGGTTTGAACCCAAGCAGATCAGCTTCAGAATCCACGTAATCGGGGTGCCTGCGTGGTTCAGTCAGTTAAGCTCTGACTCATGACTTTGGCTCAGGTCATGATCTCGTGGTTCGTGGGTTCGAGCCCTGCGTCGGGCTCTGCACTGACAGGGCGGAGCCTGCTTGGGATTCTCTCTCTCTTCCTCTCTCTCAGCCCCTCCCCTGCTCGCTTGCTCTCAAAATAAATAAACTCAAAAAGATTCCATGCCATCAATCACTACGTGCGGTCAAATGCTCTGCCCCCGAGCTATGCCCCCTTATTAATCACTATGTGAACCACTTAGTAAAAGAATGAACAGAGGGAAGAAGGAGGGAACAAAGGACTGAACGGGTAAACAAAGGAATATGAGGCAACAAACCAAAGGCATCATGAGACAGTGCCCCGCTGGCTTTGCAGACGTCAACCACCCGCTCTATCTGTAAGATGCTCTTGTCATTTTCCAAACTTCAGTTCGTGTTCCAGATGCTGGCTCCTTCCTCCTCACCCTTTTCCTGGCACCAACCCATCTTTGCTGTCCTCAGTAGTTCCTTCCTAACAGCGTTCAGGGTAATGAGATCTGAACCGTGAGATCAGCGAGGGTTAGAGCTGGAAGGTATATTAGAGACCAGGCCATCCAACCCTCCATTTTGTAGGTGGATAAACAGACCCAGAGTGCAAAGCGACCGCCCCAGGTCACCCAGCAAGCTAGTGGCAGAGTGGAGAGTGGGCCTAGCTTCCTGGTTTCCAGTCTGTGTCTCTTTCCCAACCTGCCTCCGTTCACTGCGTTAGACTTGTCCGTCAGAAGGCATTTTGGAGCAAAGGCACAGCAGGCGAGTTTAATGATTTAATGCAGACACTACCCCAAACCTGCTTCTGCATTGGTTTCAAAAGGTTGTAGGAATAAGGGAGATAAGAAATTCAAGGTCAGAGTCCTGTGATTTCCCCCAGGCAAAGAAATAAACACCTGAAGCCACACGGATGAGTCACCGTGCACTAGATGTTTCCTTGTATTACCCCATTCAATCCAACATTGACAATTATCCCTGTTTTACAGATGAGCACACTGAGGCTCAGAGAGGCAAACAGAGGAACCAACCTGTCCCAATTTTCCTGGAGCAGTCCCTGTTTTACAACTGACAGTCCTTGTCTCGGGGACCCCTCCGTCCCAGCCAAACCGGGACAGCCAGTCACCTGAAGGACTGGATCCCAGAGACCCAGGCCCAGATATGATGCCAATTCCCATGCCCTTTTGGTCCACCTGGTAAATGGATAAGCCTGAGAGGGAGAAATAAACAGCTAAGCAAGCAAGGAGGGAAGGGGGCGGGGAGGGGGCAGGAGGAGGGTGGGCACAGAGGGGCAGCTGTGAAGTCAGGTCGGCCCGGGGCCCGGCAGCCAAGCCCATGGGTGTCTTGCCAAGGGAAGACAGGCTGTTCTGTTCTTCTCTTCTGTTTACCATGATAACTGCCTTCTTATCTCAGCCAGGTCTCTGGTTTCTTGTCGGACAGTGCAGGGGTTAAGGTCTGAGGCTCTGACAAAACCAGTCTCCCGGGGACCCTGGCAGGCTGCCCAGCCTTGCCTGGAAAGCCTGGTTGGGGGCAAGGGGGAGGCGTGTGGAACACCGCAGGGCAAGAGGCTTCCCTGCGGTGAAGGCCACGGGGAGACCAGGACCCCGACGCTTGGACACTGGATTTCCATGTTTCCCGGGAAAGGACTTCACAGTGGTCAGCCAGCTGCCGGACGCCAGACCACACACAGCCCTTTGGACCTTCCGCTTGCCCGGAGCACTCAAGACGGGACGTGTCGCCTCCACCTTTGCAGAAGGGGAAGCTGAGGCCCAGAGAGGGCCGTCCCTCGCTGAGGTCACACGGCGTGTAGGTAAACCGGCATGTTGATGGCAGAGCTGTGACTCCAACTCTCCCTGCATCCCAAGCCTGGGCTCTCTCCTCCGCATGGGGCTGTAAAATCACGACCCTGGCGACGGACTGTGTCTTTAGTGCGCGTCCATGTGACTCTCGTTTGCCAAGCACACCTGCCTGGACACTGCCCTCGGCCTGCTCCACCCGGCTGATTCCCCCTCATCCCTGGACGCCGGCTCGAGGGCCCTCACGTGCAGTCAGCGTACCTGACCCCTAGGCTGGGTCAGGGTCCCGTCCCGGAAGTCATGGCAGCCTGAGCTCCGAGGGGACAGGAAACGATCCCCCCAACCCCCAGCACGGCCATGTTTGTCGATGGAACAAATAATTAAATAGATGAATTAACTGCCAGATAACCTTTAGCTCTGTCTCAAGCAGGTGGCATCCCAAAGGCAACAGCCCACTTTTGAGCAGGTGCCCCTGCTCTACCCCCTCCATCCCCTACAATCCCACTGACCTTCATCCCTCCCCTCACTACTCAAAGTCTAGTGTGGTCTCCGGATCAGAAGCATCAGTACCACCAAGGGCTTGTTAGAAATGCAGATTCCCGGCACTTAGCTAAGAGCCTGCTAAACGTTAGGTTTCACTATCACTATGCGCTATCGTATTTGAACTTTGCTACAAACCCCACTCGGTACCTGTGTCCTCATTCCTGTTACTACAGACGAAGCTGGGTCTCTGGCCGGGGTGGGGGGTGGAGGAGGGAATCCCTTTCTCCAGGTTGAACAACCAGGAAACGAGACCGGTGAGCTTCAGATCTAGGGTTCATCTAGCCCCAGAGCTGTTGAAAATTAACCCTGATGTTCCGGAGGGGATGGAAAGCCCGCATTTATGGAGCACGCCCGACATGCAAAACCCTTTCCCTGGTTTATCTCATGTAATCTTTTGACCTCCTCGTAAAGAAGGAGATTTTACAATTCTTTTCACAGGCGAGAATACGAGGCTCAGAGGTAGGAGGGACTCTCCCAAGGTCCACAGCTAGACAACCGCAGAAACGGGGTAGAATTCAGCTCTGTTTGCCTGATGTCAAAGCCACAGTCTGCTCCGGGCCCAGCTAAACTAAGGCATTGGACACTGACTGCCAGGGGTTTGCTGAGTCACTGCTCTGGCTCCCACCCATCCAGACTCCCACCGAGAGAGTCTATGGTCCCGGATCATAATCCACACTTCCCTTCCCCTTCCGAACCCTCAGCCTTCGGCTTAATCACTATCCAATTCAGACCAAGCAGAAACACACATCGATCAGTGGGTTACCAACGTGTGACATGACCTGGCAACGATTTCTAACAGCTATAGCAGGTGCTAAGAATCCCAGGGATCACCTCCCTGCCTTCTTCTTACTGTAGGTCCCGCCCCACCTGATCCCAGATGTGAACCGCTGCAGCAGGCTGGGGTCACAGGAAATGCCGTATGCCCTGTTGATGGCCGCAGGAAAGTGGGACCAAAGAGACCCATTCCCGTGCCACCCCTGTCCCTCCAGCTATGAGACCTTGGCAGATTTCCACCTCCCTGAGCCTCAGCTTCTCCATCTCTGAAATGATGCGTGATAACCCAACCTTCCAGGCCGTGAGAAGTCTGAGGGGTGCGTGGAAGTGACTGAGGGTCCTCACTGTTCTCACCCCGCCAAGATGAAAACACAGCTGGGGGCTGTGTGACGGGCCGGCCGGCAAGAATGGCTGTGCACGGGCATGGGTTTGCTTGAGTGGCTCTCGGGTGGGGGCGCGGGGGGAAGGGTCGTTTGAAAGAAGAGGCGGGAAGATGGGGCCCGGGCGGTGGCACAGGTGTGCGTGCCCTGGGAGGAGGTGCCCAGGCAGGGACAGGCAGTGCTGTCCACAGGGAGGATGGCGTGAACGGGGCAGTAAGAGTGGTCCTTCCCGTCCTTCTGCCGAGAACGCAGCACTGTGGGCCCAGAAATGGGGGGGGTGCGGCGGGGGCGCTTTGGGGAACGGCTCTGGGGATGAATTTCCGCATTCCTACAGACAGCACTGGCCAGACCCCTTAAGTGACTCCAAGGGCAAAAGACACTGAGGAGGAGAAGAATGGCAAAATAAAGGGCTGAAAGGAGAGGGGTTGAGCCCTCAGGACTCGGGAGGTCCACTTGGACTCCCAGCTTCTCCGGCGGCCGGGGGGGCGGGGGGGGGGGGACGCGGTCTGCAGGGGCCAGACGTCCTGAGGAGCAGCTCGCAGCCAGACCCACTGAAACTTGGGTGGGTGCTATTAACGTGAGCCTGCTCACACCCAGGGCAGGAGAGACGGGTTCCAGACAGAGGAGGAGGTGCGGGCCCCCGGACACAGAGCTGGCAGAGCCGGGCCTGCGGGCCGTGAGCCCTACAACCTGCACTCACCCTGCCTACCCTCTCCCAGACCTGGAGGCAGGGCGAAAGGCACGCCCAGGGGGACCCCAAGAAAGTCCTTATAAAGTGAAAACTTCTCGTGAGTCAGCCAGAGCCCAGCGGCCCAGCTCATTCATGCCAAAGGTATTCTCTTTCAGCTCTATGTGCAAAGCCTCTCGCTGCCTGAGGTGAAGTCATTGCTGGTAACCGCGCTGCCTTCTGGTAAGTCTCCTCTGAACTTTTTGTTTCTGTTTAACCCACCAGACCTCGAGGGAAGCTGGCAGCCTGCAGGGGTGCAAAGGGCACCGGACTGAGTCAGAGGCCTGGGTTCCAAGCCCAGCTCTGGCCCTTTCCAGCTGCAGGATGCTGGCCAAGGCAAGTCACATCTCTGGGCCTCAGTCTCTCCGTTTGTAAAATGGAGTCACTGCTGTCAGAAGGAGTCTAAAGAAATATACAGCACTACACAGGCATTCAACCAGCAGATATTTATCGAGTGCTTAATATGTTCAAGCACTGTGCCCAGCACAGTGGAAGTTATGGTAAGGAATCATACACACACACACACACACACACACACACACACACACGGTCCCCATTCCCTGTCTTTGGAAGAGTCACATTCTGCTGGGGAAGACAGACATGAATCAAATGATTCCATAAACAAACATTAAAATGTAGCCATGATTAGCACTGGTATGCGGTGCTATGAAAGCCTGTGATGGGGGTTTGACCCGGCCTGGGGTGGGCAGGGGCAGGTCAGGGATGACCTTCCAGAGGAGTAATGACTGAGTGGGAGATGGGAGACACAGCAGGCAGAGAGAGGCTGTGAGCAAAGCCCTTGCAGAGAAGCAGAACCATGGGCCTTGAGTACAGGGGTGAGAGGCGAGGGGAGTGCGGACGTAATGGGGCTGCAGGTGCAGGGAGGTGGGCATCAGTACAGAGCCTACAGTCCCTGAGGGCAGTTTCCAGCTCTGATATTCCAGGCCAGCAGTCCCTGGGTGTCTTCAAGTGGCCTTGCAGAGAACAGTAGGAAATACCAACGGGTCAAACTTAATTCAGGGGCTAAATCAGACACCCATCATATACCTGATCATGGTGCAAATGAAACACAGCAGGTGGGAGAAAACGTGTAACTGAAAATGTTCTATCCCTTATTTTAATTGTTCTGTGATTTGAAAGAACACTATCATGATTTCATTTTGTGATAGAAAAACCAGCCCAGTGCACAGAGTAGCGGTTTTCCACGGGAGTCCAGTCGGATCCCAGCTAAACTCAGCACCTGCCTTCCACAGGGCACAGCCTGCAAGGGGCCACCAGGTGGTGGCTAAGGTGGGGCAGAGAGATCCTTGGGCGCCTGCCCCAAAGAGACCACACACTGGTGATGGTTCTCTCGTTTCATTCTGAGAGCACAAGAAAATTCACATCCAGGAACCTGGCAATATTTGCCTTGTAAAGAATACGCTGCTGGGGCGCCTGGGTGGCTCAGTTGGTTAAGCATCCGACTTCGCCTCAGGTCAAGATCTCATGGTTTGTGGTTCGAGCCCTGTGATGGGCTCTGTGCTGACAGCTCAGAGCCTGGAGCCTGCTTCAAATTCTGTGTCTCCTCTCTCTGCCCCTCTCCTGCTCACATTCTGTCTCTCCTCTCTCTCTTAAAAATAAATAAACATAAAAAAAAAAAGAATATGCTGCTTAGAAGAAAACATAAGGGGGTAAGCTCCTTAACACTGGTCTTGGCAATGATTTTTTGGGGGGATTTGACACCAAAAAAGCAAAGGCAACAAAAACAAGGATAAAGAGTGAGGTTACATCAAATTAAGAAGGTTCTGCACAGCAAAGAAAACCACCAACAAAATGAAAGGCAAACATATGGAACAGGAGGAAATGTTTGCAAATCGCATACCTGACAAAGGGTTAAGATCTAAACTACACAGGGCGCCTGGGTGGCTCAGTTGGTTAAGCATCTGACTTGGGCTCAGGTCATGATCTCGCGGTTCATGAATTTGGGTAAGCCCCACTTCTCTCGCTCTCTCTCTTTTTCCCTCTCTTTGGATTCTCTCTGCCTCTCTCTCTCTCCCTCAGTCTCTGATCTCTGTCCCTCGCTCATTTACACTCTCTCTCTCAAAATAAATAAATAAATAAATACACAAAACTGAAGAGCAAAAAAAGAAAAAAAATCCCCAAACAATCCAATTAAAAAATGGCCAGAGGAACTGACTTGACATTTTCCTGAAGAAGACACAGAGATGGCCAGCAGGTACCTGAAAGGGTTCTTGGCATCACTCATCATCGGGGAAATGCAAATCAAAACCACAGTGAGAGATCACCTCACACCGGTCAGAATGGCTACCATCAAAAAGACGAGAAGACACCAAGCACTGGCCAGGATACGGAGAAAAGGGACCCTTGCACGCTGTCGGTGGGAACGTAAACTGGTGCGGCCACTGTGGAAAAATAGTGGATGGAGGCTTCTCAAACCATTAAATATGGAGCTACTATACGATCCAGCAATCGCACTTCTGGGTATTTGCCCAAAGGAAATAGGATCAGGATCTCAAAGAGGTATCTGCAATCCCGCGTTCACTGCAGCATCGTGAACAGGAGCTGAGATACGAAAACCACCCACGAGTCCGCCGACAGAAGAGTGGAAAAGAAGGTGATACGGTGTACAATGCGCACCATGAAAAAAAAAAAAAAAAAAGGAAATCCCACCATTTGGGACAACTCAGATGGCCCTTGAAGGCATGATGCTGAGTGAAACTGGCCAGAGAAAGACAAATACTGCATGGTACCCCTTACAGGTGGAATCTGAAAAGACAGTGTCAAGCTCAGAGAAACAGTAAAAAAGTAGTTGCCAGGTGCTAGGGGGTGAGGCAAACGGAGAGAGGTTGGTAAAAGGGCACATGCTTTGAGCTCTAAGATGAATGAGGTCTGAGAATCTAGTGCGCAGCATGGGGAGTACAGTTGCTAACACGAGATTGTGTAGTTGAGGTTTGCTAAGAGACTAGTGTTCCCACAATAAACATACACACGCACACACCTAGTGATGGATATGTTAATTAACTAGATAGGAGGAAACTTACCTACCTACATCAAATCGTCACGTTTTACACTTTAAATATATTACCATTTTATTTATTAATAAAGCAGAAAAACAATATGCTGAATAGCGACTTCATATTGGGCACTGTTTGACGGTTAGTGCCTATCATCTCGACCCAGAGAGGACTGCCAAGAAAACCAAGGCCATCTCCTCTGCCATGGCATTCCCAGCCCGGCATTTAGCACAGGGAGGCTGGAGCTGAAATTGCTCGATCCACTTCGTGAATATTAGATATTGAACTATCTAGAATTTTTATTGCCGTCTTTAAGATCGTGGCGGGTTTATAGAAGGACGATCGCTCTGTCTCTAAAAAGCGTTGAACTACAGGAGTAGATAGAGGTGAAGACCTCTCTCCCTCCTCAATATATTTTCTTGAAACAAGTGTGGTCACCCAGTATCATTCCTTCTAGGGCTGGAGAGACGG